GTCTTGGCTCAGGTTGAATCCATTTATACCCTGAAGATTTCAAATATACAATAAATAAGAGAAGCTTTTCCATCAAACAGCTACTCTTCGAGTCTTTTTATGTAATCTTCATTTAACTGGAACTCACCAAGCAGGTCCTAGCGTCATTGAGGTGCTGTTGGCCCTTGTTCAAAATGCTGGAGGGCACCGTAAAGTCTGCAGCACCCAGAGCAGAAAAGTAGGCTCTGCAGTTGCTCTTCTGGACGTCCTTAGAGCTGTGAGGAAGTGAATAAAAAGAATTGGAAAATCAGTAAAAATGATCTTTTCTTTTCCATTTTACAAGCATCCTGAGTCYATTTCAGACTTACCTGAAGTAGAGAAGCATGTCTGAGGGATAATCTGTGAAGTTCTGACTGAGACCTCCTTTGAGCAGGTTGTACATGCAGGTCAGCTGGAGGTAAAGAAGTCATAATGTTAAATAAAAGTTAGATGCTGATTTCATTCATCTACTAACTCTGATTTTGTTCTATGTTTGTTTAAATACTTGTAGATTTACCTGTGACTCCTTCAGTTGCACCTTGGCTCTGCCGGCCCTCGGCCTACAGGCATAGATCAGCTGCTTTACCAAAGTTTTGGTCATTTTCTGGGCTGCTGTGCATGTGAAGCCTTGCAGCACAGATGGGGAAAGCCTATAAAACCACAAAAAGACATAATGATTTCCAAAAGTCCCTCGTTTATAATTCAAGTTGAATGAGAAAAAGCTGCAAGATTTCTTTACTTACTGCTCTGTGTCAAAATTAGATTCAGCCAATGCCAAAAGGAGCATGCTAGCCTAAATTTAAAAAAAATAAATCAACTGTAAATATTGTCTGGATGAAATGTAACACTGAACACAGAGTGTGACTTCTAACAGCTGTCCACATGTCAGCATGACACTATGATTTATTCTGCATGTACAGAAAGACCAGATCACCGACCTGATCTGGTGTCCATGTCTTTGAGTTCAACACGCTGATGTCTGCAGTCCTCGGAGGAAATACCAGCACAGACGGTGGGATCTGAAGCGCCAAGACATCAGGGACGTTCTGCACCACTGTGGCTGCACTCCGGTCCACAGAAATGATCTGTTGAGTGGTTAAATACATTTTTATTAATAGACATATGCATCAGTTCTTAAGATTTTTTTATGATAATCGGCAAACTTTGTACCTGCTTGACYAATGTCTCCTGGAGAACTGTTGGAGCTTGCACAATGTTGGAAACGAGGGTGGGATTTTTAGAGGCGCTGAGGAGTTGATCAGCTGGGATCATCCCCATGGACTTTGAAGGAATTCCAACAACAAGAGAACCGAGGGATACCAGGGAGGCTGCACTGTTTATCTGCCAATCACATTTTTATCCATTTAAACCCTGAAGTATTTCTAGATTACTAATGACCCATTATTCACATGTTTAACTGAATACAAATTTAAATCTGGTTAAATCAGAGTACAGCACCTACCTGGTAGCCTGAGACGGTGATGGTTTGGACTATGGTTGTGGCAATCTCCTGACTCCATGTTGTCACTGAGGCCAGAGTGGACAACGAGTTAACCAGCACCGATGTGCTCACCGAAGTGATCTGGGAGATGGTCAGGCTTGAAGCAGCATTCCCAAGGTTGACAAAGGTCTGCGCTGTAATTGTTGAGGTTTTGAAGTTGGATGCCAAAGCAGCATTTACCTTCAAAAACAAAAAAAAAATTGCCTTTAGTTTATTAAAAATCTTAAATTTAGTGGTGTACCAATTCCATCATCTTTTTTTAATAAGTATTAGTACAAAGTGCCTCAATTCAGGGACATTGAATATCAATATTTAATTCAATGTGTCACAGTTTACATTTCATGAGAAAAGTTTGTCAATTCCATATTTAGGAAAGTTATACAAGTTGAAAGAAAATCTTATTGTTTTAAACTGTTGCAACAGCACATATGTGCTGTAAATTTGATTTGATCCATTCAGAGGGGCTGTAGGCCTATAAGGAAGGAGAGACACTTTGTTCTAAATAAAATAAATGTTTTTTAAAGTCAAGTTCTAACTCGGTAAGTATTCAGTATCAATATTATTGGCGAGTACCCAATCGGAGGTACTCATACTTGCATGTTTTGTTCTAATTTAGCTGTTAGCATATGATAATTTAAACGTAAATGTTCAGCTAAAACAGAAGATGGGTGCTAATGTGACCTTTGTTTTTTAACATTTATCCTTTTCAAAATATTTACCTTTAGTCACAAATATCGTTCACACAGAAATACAATTCAATTTCTTCAATTATTTCAAAACCATTGTTTTTGAATCTGCTAGCAGCTTTGTCTTCATATGCTACTGTGAGCTTTTAGCTAGCCTTCTGCTATGTTAGTCAACATCCCCATCTTTTTGCACTTAGGAAGAGAGAACCCGAGCTGAACTTTCAAACTCAGTTAAGAAGATCCTGTGTATGAACTCTTTGAGTTTTGAGTTGGTACCTCAGGGTCTACAAGTCCGCCACAGAATTCCTTCCTGTTGTCCAGGATGACCATGGTGTCAGCTTCGTTAAGGGACAAATATGTTGAACTTGGGATGTTGGGAGAGCACAACAAAATACCTGGAAGCCTGAGAGAAAAGAGACACATTACTTTGTGTACACACAGGCATTTTATTTTGTTTACTTCTCTAATGCCACTATAGTAAAGTGGTAGGTACTTACTTCAAAAGGCTGAATGTTGGGTTGACTGAGAAAAGCAGCGTGATGTAATAGTTTATTGCTTCTGGTGGGATTGTGTTGTTGTTGAAAAGGTTCAGATTGGCTTGGTTCTCCAGGATAGCCTGAACCTTAAAAAAATGCATAAATGTATAATAGATTATATTTAAGTTGTATTTTTTACAACAAGTAAAACACAACAACAACAACAACAACAACAACAACAACTCAGGTAAGCATTGATGATTTCTATTTTTTAAAAAACTGGTTTTTGTATTTGGTAAAACTGAGAGCTCAATGAGAGACCAGATCAACAGTCTACTGATTCTGGACATCAACTGACCACATGATTACACACAATGCCTGGCAACACTTTCTTAGGGCGTCTCTTAGGATGCTATTTATTACTTAATTTAAACTTAAAAAGATCTGTCCATTACCCTGCCTCTTGGAATAAAAGCTTTAGATTAACATCTGCAGTCTAGCTTGTTTCTACATTGTGTTAAAGTTAAAACTTTATACATTATACAAACAGGAAATGATATACCGGGGAGGTGGACACAAAGCTGGTGAGGTCACCCAGGGTGATAAAAGTCACAAAGCCACCGATGTAATCGACAAACCAGGAAGTAGAGCTGAGATCTGGAACACTGGGATTGTAGCATCTGAATCCAGAGCCTAAGGAAAGAGCGGAAAGTTATTGTGTTACTAGTTATTGTGTTACTAAGTTATTATGTTCAAGTAATACATTTATTTGTTATCAGGTTACGTGTAAATAAGAACAAGTGTATAAAACTCAAAAATATAAGGATAGCGTAGGCTCATGTATTGAAAAATAAACTACTGAAGAAGAAAATACTTACCATGGCTCAAATAGCTTCTGATGGTGGCGTATGCGTCTACCCTTACAAAATCAGCACCGGTGTAATTGAAGTTATTGTCCAGGTAAAACACCCTGTTGAAAGAATACCATGTAAACTGAGCTGTATTCAACCCAATCAGTTAACTTAAGACTCAGACAGAAAAAGTCTTACAGTTTCTTGAAGGCGAAGCATGAGGCGTTCTGTATTTGATTGGGGCTGATGAGGCTCTTCGTCAGGAATTTCAAATAGGTTTTCAGCCGAACATCAAACCACAAATTGGCCTCAGACATACTGGTGCTGCTCAGAGCAAACTTCCAAACACAGGGGAGGATCACCTTCTTCTGATCATCTGAAACATTCTCCTAAATGGTCATGGAGATATACAGTAGAAACAAGGTCAGAGATATGGCAAACAGACAAATTTTCACTTAAATGAACAATAAACATATAACGTCAGGTATTGGGAATAGGAACATACATTCATGAGGAAGGTTATAGCGGCATTAGAGTTGGTGAAGCTGGCACAGACATCAGAACTGTTAGTCACACCACTTGGTCCTGATGCTCCAGATATGGTTGTAGATGTTGAAGACTGTCCAGCACCACTGGTAGACTTTGTTGTTTCTGTCACAGTGCCGGATCCACCAGTGGCTCCAGATGTAGTTGTAGATGTTGTTGAAGACTGTCCAGTACCACTTGTAGACGTTGTTGTTTCTGTCAAAGTGCCAGTTCCACCAGTGGCTCCAGATGTAGTTGTAGATTTTGTCGAAGACTGTCCAGCACCACTTGTAGACATTGTTTCTGTCACAGAGCCAGGTCCACCACTGGGTCCAGATGTGGATGATGCATGAGTTGAAGACTGTCCAGTACCACTTGTAGACGTTGTTGTTTCTGTCACAGTGCCAGTTCCACCAGTGGCTCCAGATGTAGTTGTAGATTTTGTTGAAGACTGTCCAGTACCACTTGTAGACGATGTTGTTTCTGTCACAGTGCCAGTTCCACCACTGGGTCCAGATGTGGATGATGCATGAGTTGAAGACTGTCCAGCACTATTGGTAGAAGTTGTTGTTCCTGACACAGTGCCAGTTCCACCACTGGGTCCAGATGTGGATGATGCATGAGGTGAAGACTGTCCAGCACT